TTACAAATGACTGGACTTTCCTGTGACTGACTTTCTTGACTGGAGCTGTGTGGGACCAGCCGTGCGGGAGCTTGAACTTTGCTCTTCTGGTTTATCCGCTGGGCAGGATTTGGCTTTGGAGGCTGTTCTGGTATCTTCGGGGCAGCCTTTTTTCAACCCTCTTGTGATCATTTGGGTCCCCCCCCCCCCTCCTGGTGTCCTTGCACCAGTTGCTGTTTCACCAGTTTCTTCTTTGGGTTTTTTGGGGGTTTGGTGCAATGGCCTTGCAAAAATGCCTTCCTCCTCCCTTGCTCCATGTGTTTACGGATGCTTCGTTTGTCAGAAGGGGCTTTGTGACAAGTTCTCATCAGTCTGGCAAGGGGCGTTGGTGGCTGTCCATGTTTTGGGCTCACAGCACAGTATGGGAGTTTGCGGCAGTGTTGCTGGCACTGCGACGGATACAGGTTCCTTCGGGCTTGGTGATCCAGCTCCATTTGGATTGCAACTCCGGTAGTTCAGTGTCTCAACCGGGAAGAGGGATAAAGGTCTCTTTGGTCTGTGACACTTTGGAGCTGGTTGCTTTTAATAGCTCTTCAGTTGAATTCTTGGAGTTTAGCTCTCCACACCATTCACATTCAAGGAGTGTCCAACGTCTTGGCAGACAGCCTGTCACACTTTATTTCTCTTTCCACGGAGTTGACGGTCAACACCAATTCCTTTGGTTCTGACAGATGTTTGGGCACCCAGAGGTGGACCTCTCCCCGTCAGTGGGTTCTATATATCTTTCTCTGTATTTGGCACATTTTTCCGACTGTGTGACCTTAGCAGTACTCTTTTTTTTTTTTTGACATGACTGGTCGAGATGGTGGTTCCTGTATCTTTTTTCCATGGTCCAGCTGTTGCTCTGGGTTTTGGCTCTGCACGAATCCTTTTGAAGGAGGATGTTTCTCCTAGCTCCCATTGTGGCAAGCCCAACCTTTGTTTCAGGCGCTGCTTGTGGGTGTTGGCAGCAAGTTTAGCTTAGTTGCCAACACACCAAAAAAAAAAAAAAAAAAAAAAAAAAAAAAAAAAAAAAAAAAAAAAAAAAAAAAAAAAGATCCGAACCCAGGCATTTTTTCGTGATACAGAGCACCACTTGGTTTCCGAACTTTAGTTATCCGAAACTTCCAGTTTCCCGATTGGGGTTGGGGAGTCATGCTACCCGAACAAAGTTCGGGTAGGAAGGGGTCCGCCAAGCGTCACGCCGGCTTGTGGTGGTGGGTGGGCGATGGTCCAGTTTGCCCACTGTGACTTCACAGATTCACGGCCTATTATTCCGATTATTTTGAATTGCCATAAGGCTGGAATGTTCATTCTGTGCTTTTGTTTTACATATCTGCACAATCAAGAAACATCTGTGCACCATGTTGGCTCCAAATGCACGCATTGCGTCAGTGATGGCTGACTGGTGGGTGGATGGACGATGGAGTTTAGGTGGGAGGCAGTATGAATGAGGGGGGGGGGGGGAGAATCAGTGAGAGAGGGGGGGGGAGAGAGATGCTAGGAGGGAGGGGGAGGTAGGGAGAGATGTTAGGAGGTAGGGAGAGATGCTAAGAGGGAGGGGGAGGTAGGGAGAGATGCTAGGAGGTAGGCAGGAAGGGATGGAAGTAGTAGTGAGAATTAGGGAGGGAAAGGCAGGCTGGCAGGCACAGGCAGGCAGGCTGGCAGGCACAGGCAGGCAGGCTGGCAGGCACAGGCAGGCAGGCTGGCAGGCACAGGCAGGCAGGCACAGGCAGGCAGGCAGGCAGGCACAGGCAGGCACAGGCAGGCACAGGCAGGCAGGCAGGCAGGCAGGCAGGCAGGCAGGCAGGCAGGCAGGCAGGCAGGCAGGCAGGCAGGCTAGCTTGCAGGCAGGGAGTGAGTGGTAGTCTCGCGGTTGAACCGCGTGACCTTGAGAGATGGGATGTAGGGGGGCGGGTGGTTTGTTGGTGGTGGGGGTGAGACCGGCTCATTCCCGAAGATAAGCCTAACACACACTACCCGTTAGCATGATGGCAGAGAGGGAGGCAGGCTGGCTGGAAAGGAAGCAGGCTGGCAGGCTGGGAAGGAGGCAGGCTGGCAGGCTGGGAAGGAGGCAGGCTGGGAAGGAGGCAGGCAGGCAGGCTGGGAAGGAGGCAGGCTGGCAGGCAGGGAAGGAGGCAGGCTGGCAGGCTGGGAAGGAGGCAGGCTGGGAAGGAAGCAGGCTGGCAGGCTGGGAAGGAGGCAGGCAGGCAGGCAGGCTGGGAAGGAGGCAGGCAGGCAGGCTGGGAAGGAAGCAGGCTGGCAGGCTGGGAAGGAGGCAGGCTGGGAAGGAGGCAGGCTGGGAAGGAGGCAGGCTGGGAAGGAAGCAGGCTGGCAGGCTGGGAAGGAGGCAGGCTGGGAAGGAGGCAGGCTGGGAAGGAAGCAGGCTGGCAGGCTGGGAAGGAAGCAGGCTGGCAGGCTGGGAAGGAGGCAGGCTGGGAAGGAAGCAGGCTGGCAGGCTGGGAAGGAGGCAGGCTGGGAAGGAGGCAGGCTGGGAAGGAAGCAGGCTGGCAGGCTGGGAAGGAGGCAGGCTGGGAAGGAGGCAGGCTGGGAAGGAGGCAGGCAGGCAGGCAGGAAGCGATATATGGGTGTTGAAGTGAGCCGTGAACCACGTGACCTTTGAGAGAGAGTGTGTGTGTGTGTGTGTATGGGTTTGGGGTGGGGGGTGGGGGTGGTGTGTCGGTGGTGGGGGGGGAGAGGGGGAGGTGTGTCGGTGGTGGGGGGAGAGGGGGAGGTGTGTCGGTGGTGGGGGGAGAGGGGGAGGTGTGTCGGTGGTGGGGGGAGAGGGGGAGGTGTGTCGGTGGTGGGGGGAGAGGGGGAGGTGTGTCGGTGGTGGGGGGTGGGGGGGAGGTGTGTCGGTGGTGGGGGAGGGACCGGCTGACTCCGTAAGCCTAACCACACTCCACAGACCTGTGACCCAGATTTGTTTCTTAAATGTACAGTACATCATCGTATATTTTAGGCAGGATGTTCCTGCAGGCTGGCAGGAAACATCCAGAGGATGTTTGCCAGACGTCTTAATAATCAGTTAGGAACAATTAAGGACTTTTATAAAGCGGATCAGGACTTCACTTATTGATGAGTACAAACAAAACACGGTCGCATTTACGCCATGAACCTGACGATTTTTTTCCCTAGAGTTTTTTTTTCATAAATTTTTCGGAAAAATTTCTTTTTACATTTCTAGTTTATTTTTTCCCCTCTTTCTCGTATACGAACTTACATGTTAACCGACGGGTCTCGTCCCCAAGGGGTTCGGAAACCAAGTGGTGCTCTGTACTGCTTTTTCAGCAGGTCAGGCCAGTGAGGTACCTCACTGATTGCACATTTTCCTCTGCAATAAGTGTTTGGTCTTTCTGACTCTCGTGTATCGTCATTTGTATAGTGATCAGGTGGCCGATTTGATTGTGACTCCACCTGTGGTCTTCTCGGCGACAGTATGAGGTTTCTCGAGGGGTTTTACCCATTTTCATTCTCTTCATAGGGTTCCATCTTTGTAGGTCAAAGTTGTTTTGTCCTTTCTTGTTTTTTTCTGGATCAGCATCTCATGCCGAGTACTGTTGCTTCTTATCTTATGGCGTTGGCAGAGCCGCTGCAGCTTGCATTCAGGGTAGATGTCGCTTCCATCCCATTCCACAAGCTTTCTCGTGCATTTTTTCACCTCCGGCCTGCTCATGCGCCACCCGAGCCATCTTGGTCTGTGGACCGGGTTCTTTCCTTTCTTTCCATCACCTCGGTTTGTAGTGGCCCCATTGGTTTGTGAGTGCTTCTGGAAAGCTTTATTTTAGGTGGCTTTTGCCTCTGGGGGGTCAGGATGGGGAGCTTCATACACTTCTCCAGCGCCGGAGGTTTTATTCATTCAGTCCTGATGGTCATTTTGTTCTTTTGCAGCCGGAATTTCCTTTTCTGGAAAAGAATAAGATGGTGAGCTTCCGGAGGGGTCCATTGGTTGTGGATGCTTGGTTGGTTTGACCAAGGGTGCATCACATGCCGTGTCCTGTGGCGGCTTTACGCCACTACCTGTGGGCCACCAGATCTGTATTGGTCGATTCACTCTGAGTTGATCTGGTTTCCCCTGGTTCACCTGTTCCAAGGCTCGTGTGTCTCAAGTTGTTCATAGTGGCATTAAGTCTAGCCAGCCTGTGGTTTTACTCTCATGCCCATGATGCTCAGAAGCATGCTGTTCTTTTGGTTGCCTTTGGGAATATGTCTTGGGATGATATTCAGGCACAGGGTTTTGGAAGTCAAACAGGGTCCTTGGCCGCCAGCTATCTTGTGAAAGTTTCGGGCCCTTTGTGATTTGTCATGGCTTTCTTTCACTACCTCGAATTGAGACCTGTGGTGCTGCTGCCTCCCTGGTAAGTCCCTGTTTTTCCTTCTCTGTGGGTAGTTAATTTCAGGGAGCTGACAAGGCTCCTCCAGAGAAAACCAGCATTGAGTATAATGAAACGCCAGTTTCTGGGTGAGCTTCGGAGGCTCCATGGCCTCCCCCTCACTCCCTTCAGTTCGCGACTTTAATCATTCAAGAACTGGATGGTGGGCGGCTTGGCCACCCAGGCCGGTCCCCCCCCCCCCTTCCATCGTGAGGGGGATGGCGCTAACAAGCAGGGGGTATGTTGGACAAATTTTTGCTTATTAATTTTTCTGGGGGTAGTTCTTTTGCTACTTTGAGGATGTACGTTGCATTTTTCAACCAGTGGTCTGTTTTGTTTTGCTTACCTTTCTGGGTGCCTTTCCTTGTTGATGACAAATATGATATACTTTAAATGTAAAGTGCTCATAGGCCATTGCTCCCTGTGCCTCTCTGAGGGGGCCAAGTTCTTACACTGGTCTCCAGGAGGCAACAAGATCTCTGACTCATGACCCAACTAATATAGCAGTATATCAGTATGGATAGCTTCAGGGAGCTACTTTATCCTGTCAAAATTAAAGTATACCCTACTTAAGACAGAGACAGTGTACAGTGTTTAATAAAACCTTACCTGGCTTTTTGAGCTTTCCACACCAGCACAATTGGTGACAATACTTGCTGCTGCAATGGCATCAAAAATCTTTTTCTTTTGGCAATTATTTCTAAAGACTAGAAGATCTAATGAGGTATTCCTGGTGAGGAGGCCAAGTGTAGGTTTTGCAAGAGGAGTCCTGTGACCAGGACTTGGAGGTGATGTTGGGCTTGATGGATCTTCAAGAGAACTATCCGAGAGACTTTTACGTGTCACAGCTAATGTTTTGAATACATCTCTAAGGTCCTTTCGTGCTCGTAAGCTAAAAGATTTGTAAAGCACCACAAAGTCAGTGAAGTCCAGTTCTGCCGCCTGTGTAATAGACTCGCCCCGGAATCCTCGAGGCGCAAGGGTCATGAATTCTCCACCTCCACTAGATCGACTACGCTCTCTGTAGAGTAAAGTTTATTGCAAATATACAATTATAACACATATGTAAGGAGAAATATTTATTTAATTTAAAGTTATAAAGCTCAAAATAATCAGAAGGTATGCAGGCGATGAGTCACAATAACGTGGCTGAAGTATGTTGACCAGACCACACACTAGAAGTTGAAGGGACGACGACGTTTCGGTCTGTCCTGGACCATTCTCAAGTCGATTGTGGGACGAAACGTCGTCGTCCCTTCAACTTCTAGTGTGTGGTCTGGTCAACATAATCAGAAGGTATTTTATAACAACACAATTTTACAAACCTATATCCAATAGTTTGCTGTGGAGGCGATGGTAAACCAGTAGCAGGATCATATGAAGCTCTAGGAATGGCTGGAGAATGGAGAAGAGGTGCATGTGTAACTGGTCCAATCAAATGTTCAGAAGTAGTTTCACAGGATCGTGAGCGAGGTGGAGATGGATGAACAGGAGGAATAATTGTACGACGACTGGTAGTTGAAAGTGCTGGAGATTGTGCTACTCTAATTTCATCAGAAGGTTTTGTACCATCCTGCTGACAAAAAAATTTGTTTACTTAAATACCCTATAAGCCCTATGCAGTTATTTGTAATTACTATACAGCCTACAAACTTGACAGGAAATCCTTGCTGAAATACCAACTGATACCTTGCCGAGATCCATGCTGAGATACCAACTATAATTTATAAAAAAAGCCTCCAGATTTCTAGCTCCTGCCATTGCATTGCTCTACAACAAATCATTTGAACTCCCAACCTTTCCGGAAATACTGAAAAAAAAGCGAGAGTAACCCCAGTCAATAAATGTCGTGCTCTCACTGATGTCAACCATTTCAAACCTATATAAATTCTGCTAACCTTATCAAAAATATTTGAAAAGCTAATCAACAAGAAGCATTTCTCTTATCTAGCTAAACACAATATACTTAGCTCTTGCCAATATGGTTTCAGACCCCCAAAACAGCACTACCTATGCACTGAGACAGAAGAAAAAGAGGTGATATGATCACTACATACAAAATAGTAACAGGAATTGATAAAATCGATAGGGAAGATTTCCTGAGACCTGGAACTTTAAGAACAAGAGGTCATAGATATAAACTAGCTAAACACAGATGCCGAAGAAATATAAGAAAATTCACTTTCGCAAACAGAGTGATAGACGGTTGGAACAAGTTAGGGGAGAAGGTGGTGGAGGCCAAGACCGTCAGTAGTTTCAAAGCGTTTTATGACAGAGTGTGCTGGGAAGACGGGACACCACGAGCGTAGCTCTCATCCTGTAACTACACTTAGGGAATTATAATTAAATTACTGATTAGTATGATTAACTTGATACATGCAGCTCTTGATAAAAATGAGTTCCCTGTTGGGTTATTTGTTGACCTACATAAGGCTTTTGACACTGTCAACCACCAAAACCTTCTTCTTAAATTACATCATTATGGAGTCAGAGGTCACTCCTTCCAATACCTTCAGTCCTACCTTACTGACAGGCTCCAATTTGTTTCTGTGAATAATTCAATTTCTCCTACACTACCCATCAACATTGGTGTTCCATAGGGCAGCATACTTGGCCCTCTCCTCTTTCTCATCTACATTAATGACCTTCCACATGCCTCTCAACACCTCAAACCAATTTTATTTGCTAATGACACAACTAAACAATATGCAAATTAGTAACAAAGTGGATGGTAAATTCCTTAGTGTTCTCAACGAAAAGCTGAATTTCCAGGGACACATTCTAAACATTAAAAAGAAACCAGTGTTGAATGTTATGAAACCCCATTTTCTGGGCGAGTCCTGGAGGCTCCCTGGAGCTATCCAGGCTGATAAGACTATCACTAACTTTGACATCAGACGATGTGGGTGAAGTTCTAGGCCTACTGGGGACCATGAGGCAGAATCTGGGCCCCCCCTCAGAGGCACGAGGAGCAATGGTCTATAGAAATGCAAATGTGACTTTTGGAGCAGTCGATATCTGCCATCGACTGGGAAAGGCACCCAAAAAGGTAAGCGCCCCAAAACTAACCCTTTTTCTGGTTAAATTGCCAAAAATAGACAAACAAGTGGACAGAACTCCCCAAGTGAAAATGAGCAATCAAGCATGAAGTCACTCGAGCCGTGCCGCCCGTCTGCGCAGCTCCCCCCTCAGGGGAAAGGGGGAGCCCCAGACCCACCGCACCAGCAATCCAACCATTAGTTCTCAGGCTGGATGTCAAAACACGCGAAAAACTGCCGACTGGGAGGGGGCAGGCGATAAGTCACAAAAATGTGGCTGAAGTATGTTGACCAGACCACACACTAGAAATTGAAGGGACTACGACGTTTCGGTCCGTCCTGGACCATTCTCAAGTCGATTGTCGTCGATTGTCGAAACGTCGTCGTCCCTTCAACTTCTAGTGTGTGGTCTGGTCGACTGGGAGGGGAATGGGGGTTGCAAGGGAGCCTCCAGAACTCATCCAGAAATTTTATTTTTATCTACATTTGTGTTCACCATAGCGAATCACTAAGCTGGTATGGCGAGTGCAGTCAATAAAAGGTGGCCCCACACAGTCAGAAGACAACGCCATCACCCTCCCTCCCACAGCAGTACTCCTCCCTCCATGGAGCACAGTGCTAAATATCACCACAATCCTGCTATTATCAGAACCCTGGTCAGTTTTATCACAGTCAGGGGTCTTCTGTAATAATATCATCGCTACATAATAGCATGAACAAGTATATTATGGCATTTTTATGCGATGCTGTGGTCACAAGCTGAACAGCAGTGCTGTGAGCTCATGCTGCATGCGTCAGGCTTGGTAGCTCACTCAATACTGAGGCCCCTAACACCCAGGAATTTGGCCCACGATTTTTTTTAAAATGGTGTCTGTTTACAAGAGCCCTGATGAAGGTGTGGTGAACCCGTGTATCTGCGGGCCGTTTAAATCTTGTGTAGTACTCCAAAGCATCATATGATGCGATGCGCAATTTACCACAATTCGGTCAAAGCATCATATGATGGGATGCGCAACTAAAGGGTTAAACAATGCTGTTTGTCGACCAAATTGCATTTTTTGCTGTTATTCTGCCATGTCCCCCTTTTTTATTTTTATATTTTCTCATCACATTTTATACTTTAATCTCAATTTTTTTTTTTTTTTTTTTTTTTTTTTTTGAGATATATACAAGAGTTGTTACATTCTTGTACAGCCACTAGTCACATTCAAAAGGTGATACCCCCAGGGTCAACACTTGCATCAGAGGAGCTCCAGCATATTTCAACAATCCTAAGTATTGTAGTACAGGTTGATGATAGTGAGTGGTGTCCCAGAGAACATAAGGGTATAGTGCTTTTGAAAAATAGGTGAGATAACAGGAATGTGCTAAGGGAAGTGAAAAATCAAATGAGAAAAAGTTGCCCTAGTGTTTACAGTGCAGAGAAGAACATTCAAGATGGCCACTGGCAAGGGGAAAAACAAAACAGAGCTTGATTTTGAGGGATTCAATGAAGAAAGCATTGATATTAGTAGTCTACATAACAAGTTGGTAAAATTAGATACTATAGTGAACTCTCATGTAGAAATAATTAGTAAATTGAAAGAAAGTAATGACCATTTGAATAGCAAAGTTTTATGTCTTGAGGGTTTAGTGAAAGACTTGCGCAAGGATAAGAATCAATTGGAAACAAATTGCAAAGCCATGGAAGAAGAAAATAAACTCTTAAAAATAGCTTTGGAAGAAGTTAAAGTAAATTTAAACATAAATGACTACAATAGGTTAGGTAAGGAAATTCAACAGGAGAAACAGCTTTTGTCAGCACAGATGGAGGAAGTTACACAGGGAATAGAACAGTGCAAGAAAGATATGCAACTCACTTATGCACAAGTGGCCAAGGAGAAGGAAAAAATAGAAGAAGCAGTAAAGGAAGTCAAACACTGCAGCAACCAAGATAAAACAAACATTAGGCTAGAAGTGAGGAAAGAATTGGCATCTAACCCGAAGTTGGTGCAAAACACAGTTGATCGGAGTAAGTCCCTGATCATTTTTGGCTGCAAAGAAAAGGCGATAACATCTAGGTCAGAAAGAGCTGTAGAAGAAGCTAAAGTAGTAGATAAAATTGTTGGCCTCGTGGAAGGTCTTACTACCAGAGAGAATGTGTGCGACTACAGGAGAATAGGCAGGTACGTAAAAGGGAAAGATCGACCTTTGAGGATCACCCTAAACGGTGCCAAACAGATGGAAGAAGTACTAAGGAATGCTAGAAAATTGCAAAGGGATGAGGATGGGAAAGGGTGGTCGTTAAGACGAGATCTTTCAAAAGAAGATAGAGAGAAGCTGAAACTGAACCTCGCCGAGGCAAAACATTTAAATGAGAGCAGGAATGAAGAAGAAATAAATTCTTTTTTCTACAAAGTGATAGGGGTAGGCAAACCAGTAAAGTGGTACATAAAGGCAAACCAACAAAATCAATAGAGAGAGGGGGAGTGAAGAATAAGGAGAGGGGGAACAAGTTCCTGAAGATTGCATACACCAACATAGATGGAGTGAGATCGAAGATACTGGAGTTAAGTGATGTAATACAGCTGCAGACACCAGACATTGTTGCACTCACGGAGACAAAACTTGAAGATGTAATTTTAAATGAGGTCATATTCCCAAGGGGCTACTCAATTTGGAGACGGGACAGAAAAATTAGGAAAGGCGGTGGCGTTGCTGTGCTGGTAAAAGAACACCTAAAGGTGAAGGAAATAATGACTGCCAATCCACAAGAAGTTGACATAATAGCACTAGAGATCTGCTATGAGGATGATAAACTAATGATGATAAATGCATATAGTCCACCGCCAAGCAGCACATGGTCAAAGGAGGAGCTAGATAGTAAACGTGAAGGTCTTATAACAATAATGAGAGAGATTATAGCGAGAGCGGATAACGATAGATCACGACTGTTGATAGTCGGTGACTTCAACTTGAAATCCATAGACTGGGAAGCATATGAAGCTAAAACAGAAGATTTTTGGACCTGTAAATTTGTAGACCTCATCCTGGAAACATTCTTGTATCAACATGTTAAACAAGCTACGAGGATGAGGGAAGGGGACGTTCCCTCCATGCTAGATTTGATATTTACCAGGAAGGAGGAAGAGATATTTGACATTCAGTACCTTCCTCCCTTGGGTAAAAGTGACCATGTCTTTTTGGGAATAAAGTATGCAATGCGTTATAAGCTGGAAGAAAATAAGGAGGTTGAAGCAGTTGAAAAACCAGACTTCAGGAGAGGACATTATGGTGACCTTAGAAATTTTTTTAGTGAGTATAATTGGACAGACTTGATGCTAGGCAAGGAAGTGAATGAGATGTATGGCAAGTTTTGTGAAATATATGATAAAGGCACAAAAAAATTTATACCAAAACAGAGATGCAGAACTAGGAAACAGGATTGGTTCAATAGAAATTGCGAGAGGGCTAGAGACCGAAAGACACAAAAATGGAATCAATACAGGAAGAGGCCAAACCCCCAAACATACCAGCGATACAAAGATGCGAGAAACAACTACACGGCAGTGAGGAGAGAGGCAGAAAGAAATTTTGAAAAAGGGATTGCGGACAAATGTAAAACAGAACCAGGTCTATTCTATAAATTCATAAACAACAAATTGCAGGTAAAGGATAATATTCAGAGGTTGAAAATGGGAAATAGATTCACGGAAGATGAAAAGGAAATGTGTGAAACACTAAACGAAAAGTTCCAAAGTGTGTTTGTACAAAATGAAATCTTTAGGGAACCAGATACAATAAGAATTCCAGAGAACAACATAGAACACATAGAGGTGTCTAGAGACGAAGTGGAAAAAATGCTCAAGGAGCTCGGTAAGAACAAAGCAGCTGGCCCAGATGGCGTTTCACCATGGGTTCTGAGAGAATGTGCATCTGAGCTCAGCATTCCACTTCACCTGATCTTTCAGGCATCCCTGTGTACAGGAATCGTAGCAGACGGGTGGAAACAGGCTAACATAGTTCCAATCTACAAAAGTGGCAGCAGGGAAGACCCCCTCAATTATAGACCTGTATCATTGACAAGTGTAATAGTGAAAGTATTGGAAAAACTAATCAAAACTAAATGGGTAGAACACCTAGAGAGAAATGATATAATATCAGACAGACAGTATGGTTTTCGATCTGGAAGATCCTGTGTATCGAATTTACTCAGTTTCTATGATCGAGCCACAGAGATATTACAGGAAAGAGATGGTTGGGTTGACTGCATCTATCTGGACCTAAAAAAGGCTTTCGACAGAGTTCCACATAAGAGGTTGTTCTGGAAACTGGAAAATATTGGAGGGGTGACAGGTAAGCTTCTATCATGGATGAAAAATTTTCTGACTGATAGAAAAATGAGGGCAGTAATCAGAGGCAATGTATCAGAATGGAGAAATGTCACAAGTGGAGTACCACAGGGTTCAGTTCTTGCACCAGTGATGTTTATTGTGTACATAAATGATCTACCAGTTGGTATACAGAATTATATGAACATGTTTGCTGATGATGCTAAGATAATAGGAAGGATAAGAAATTTAGATGACTGTCATGCCCTTCAAGAAGACCTGGACAAAATAAGTATATGGAGCACCACTTGGCAAATGGAATTTAATGTTAATAAATGTCATGTTATGGAATGTGGAATAGGAGAACATAGACCCCACACAACCTATATATTATGTGAGAAATCTTTAAAGAATTCTGATAAAGAAAGAGATCTAGGAGTGGTTCTAGATAGAAAACTATCACCTGAGGACCACATAAAGAATATTGTGCAAGGAGCCTATGCTATGCTTTCTAACTTCAGAATTGCATTTAAATACATGGATGGCGATATACTAAAGAAATTGTTCATGACTTTTGTTAGGCCAAAGCTAGAATATGCAGCTGTTGTGTGGTGCCCATATCTTAAGAAGCACATCAACAAACTGGAAAAGGTGCAAAGACATGCTACTAAGTGGCTCCCAGAACTGAAGGGCAAGAGCTACGAGGAGAGGTTAGAAGCATTAAATATGCCAAAACTAGAAGACAGAAGAAAAAGAGGTGATATGATCACTACATACAAAATAGTAACAGGAATTGACAAAATCGACAGGGAAGACTTCCTGAGACCTGGAACTTCAAGAACAAGAGGTCATAGATTTAAACTAGCTAAACACAGATGCCGAAGAAATATAAGAAAATTCACCTTCGCAAATAGAGTGGTAGACGGTTGGAACAAGTTAAGTGAGAAGGTGGTGGAGGCCAAGACCGTCAGTAGTTTCAAAGCGTTATATGACAAAGAGTGCTGGGAAGACGGGACACCACGAGCGTAGCTCTCATCCTGTAACTACACTTAGGTAATTACACTTAGGTAATTACTAGTACGCGTAGCGTTTCGGGCAGGTCCCTGGAATACGATCCCCGCCGCGAAGAATCGTTTTTTCATCCAAGTACTCATTTTACTGTTGCGTTAAACAGAGGCTACAGTTAAGGAATTGCGCCCAGTAAATCCTCCCTGGCCAGGATACGAACCCATGACATAGCGCTCGCGGAACGCCAGGCGAGTGTCTTACCACTACACCACGGAGACTGTAAAGACTTAATTAGTATTAAGCTTTAGTCTTTAGTGTTTTCCTGTCCGAAATGCTTTGCATAATAGTGGCTTTAGGCATTGTATGTACTAGCTCTTATCTATAAATTCATCAATATTTGTATCACACCCTGCATGTATGCACTTTACCTGAATAAACATTTGAATTTGAATAAACCAAGCATAAACAAACAAAAGAGGAGGAGACTGAGGAGAAAGATAACTCATACCCCCCACTCTCTTGGAGTGACCACTTCTTGGAGGAAGACACGAGGGCCAAGTCAAAGGGTGCCAAGGACCCATCCCAGGCCTTTCTACTACTCCAGAGCCCCCCCCCCCCCACACTAAAAACAAAAACCTCGGGGAAGAGCCAGGATCAATGTCAGATTTCAAAGAGAGAACTGGAAGGCATACCCCCCTCAAGAAGCCTTGGGAACCCCCTGGAATGTAAAGCAAGAGACCCCCTGATGGGAAAATGGCAAGTCAAATGCCTCACTACAACAAAGACTTTTGTTCCAAATTCTATCCCTATGCCTTTCATTGAACCCAGAATTCCTAAGTGTGTGCTAAAAATAATTTAAAACATGTGTCACTTATTTACTAATAATGCATAATGTAATGTAATGTATATTATAAAAAAAATCAAACTCACCTTTGCAACATTGATAGTTGCCTGAGACTTCAGTTTTCTTAATCTAGTTGAGCCTGAGCCTCTTTTTGCTGCTCCCGGGTCTTGTGGAGACATGCTACCAGCAGTAGATGTAACCCAATTTCTCCCACCAAAAATCTATAATAAAGTTAGGATTCAATGCTATAGTATTCAATGTATTAGTTAATGAGAATTTTTAGTGTACAATGCACCATCCCAAATATGGACCTCCCTATAATGGGTCCCCTCTAAATACAGGTGTAAGTCTGCCCACAAGATTTGTTAGAAATTTAAATCTCTTAAGAAAAAATCCAAAGGGTTCTACCCCTCTATTTTATTTTACAGTGAAATCTAGAGTTTTAGTTTATCAAACAAAGCAATTTATATCAAACTGTATTTCTGTGGGGAGCCCCATCGGCTCCCTGAAGCTAACTTACTGATTAAGTGCCATACTACTTCAAGTCATCAGTCTCAGAGTTCTTGTAAGCCTACCGGAGACCACTAGCCAGAACCCGGCTCACTCACAGAGGCGCAGTGAGCAATGGCTCATGAAAACTTTTAATTAAAGGTTTATCATCTTGCCATCGACCAGAGAAAGCACGCAGAAAGGTTGGTGAATATGAACAGATTACTGTCTGGTTGAAAAATTGTGACCCACACCCTCAAAATATCAAAAGAAATTCCTCAAAAAGAAAACAAACAAGCAAAACTTCATCCAACTATCCCCCGCTCATTACCCACACCTACCCACTCAAGGGTAACCGGCTGCCACCACCAGTCAGTTTACCGATGTTCGTGCCTAGCGGTCGTCAGTCGCTCTGGCCACAGCTTCTTATTTTAGGGGTGTTTTGCCTTGTGAGGCTGTTCCTACACTAATTGTGTGTCGAGGAGGTTTAGAGTAATGGCGCTGCATGTGCTTAGGATCACCTTCCCTAAGTGAGTAAGTACAGATACTGCCCTTGTGTGGTCAGGGTTCCCTTCCCTGGGGCATTTGGGATTCGCTCCTAGTTAGAGGACTTTCTCAATGGTGGTAGTTTTTGCCCTTGAGGTGCATCGGGGGCTTTGGGTTTTCTGTCTTGCCATGGGTGTGGGAGTGTTTTTTGGGTGATGGGGTGCACTGCAGCCAGTGTAGCCAGCTCTTTAGCTAGCGACAGTGAGCCGATATTTCTATCTGACTGCTTGTTTGCTATTGTGGAGTTTCGAGGGTTTTAGTGTTATCACTTTTGCCAGCGTTTCGGTTCACTTTTTCAGCAGAGGAGTTCTGCCTTTCACCTGATTGGGCTGAGCCTAGGTTGTGGGTAGTGGTCCTCCTCTGTTGTCCCTGAGGCTTTCCTGCGACTTCTTGCAGTTGGATTGCCTGCACCGATATGAGTTACTGACTTAGCTGGCCCCAGTGCCTGGGCTTCCTGTAGGGATCATTCACCCTACAGGCTCTGGAACACCCCCAGCAGGTCAGATGTACGATGGATACCTCTTCTGAGCCTGCTGTCCCTTTGTGCGATTTTGAGAGCTGTTCGTCGCCCTTGCCTCAGGGGAATGATCATCCGTTCTGCCTCCACCAGGCAGCTTGTTGGGTCAGTGACACCTTTGACCCGAGAGTCATGTGGGATTTGTTCCCCTCATGTGCTTACGATCACTCATTCTCTTGCGAATATTCGTAAGTATCAAGCAGTGTATGCTTTGCATCACCAAAGCGAGGCCTTCACTCTACCAACCAGTCAAAAGTGATAGACGAATTGTATCTAGATCTGTTGAAGATTGATCATTCATATTGAGTGAATGTTATTTACTATCAGAGAAAAAAGCCTCGCTTGTATACACTACATGGAGAATTTTGTTATATTTTTATATAAGAACACATACCAGACCACCCCTGAATCAACAGCTGCATCAGAGGAGCTCCCAGATATTTCAAATTCCTAAGTATTGTAGAATAGGTTGATAACGTGAGTCGTGTTCCCCCAAAAATATAAGGGTGTAGTGTATTTTAAAAAACAGGTGAGAAGATAAATGTGCCAGAAGAAGTGAAATAAGTTGAGAAAAGGTTGCCTAACCAGGATTTCACATAATTCCCCCATGCACTCAGGCTCTGTCAACCAGTAGTACTACCTCAGAGTGCACGAGGGAAATTGTGTGAAACCCCAGTAAGGCTTCAGTGGAAGCCTCAGCACTCTTCTGGGTGCAGTAGTACCCCAGGTTGTAATTCTTTTCCTTGTCATGGTACAGTTGACTAGAGCATGCCTGGGAACACCCAGCACATAGGTTCCAAGCCTCATGAACCCCTAAACTGCGCAACGCACCTGCAGGCCCTCGATAGGGTTGCGCAACGTGCCTCCGGGTATTTATATTTTTAGCGTTCCATTCAAAACTCCCACGGCTACATGGGGTTCACATCAACTTCCACATGGCTCTTGTAAACAGACGCCATCTTTAAAAAAAATCATGGTCCACATTCCCGGGTGTGGGAGACTCGGTACTGAGTGAGCAACCAAGGCTGGCGCACGTAGCATGAGCTCTCAGCCCTGCTGTTCAGCTTGTGACCACAGCGTCACCTAATAATGTGTCTGTCTGTCTGTCTGTATGTATGTGTGTAATTACCTAAGTGTAATTACCTAAGTGTAGTTACAGGATGAGAGCTACACTCATGGTGTCCCGTCTTCCCAGCACTCTTTGTCATATAACGCTTTGAAACTACTGACGGTCTTGGCCTCCATCACCTTCTCACTTAACTTGTTCCAACCGTCTACCACTATATTTGCGAAGGTGAATTTTCTTATATTTCTTCGGCATCTGTGTTTAGCTAGTTTAAATCTATGACCTCTTGTTCTTGAAGTTCCAGGCCTCGGGAAATTTTCCCTGTCGATTTTATCAATTCCTGTTACTATTTTGTACGTAGTGATCATATCACCTCTTTCTTCTGTCTTCTAGTTTTGGCATATTTAATTCTTCTAACCTCTCCTCGTAGCTCTTGCCCTTCAGTTCTGGGAGCCACTTATTAGAGTGTCTTTGCACCTTTTCCAGTTTGTTGATGTGCTTCTTAACACTTTCGCGCTCTCGGCGCTCAAAACAAAACAATACCCCAGATGCTTTCGGCACTTCGCGCGCCTACGCGGTAAGACCGAAAAAGTGTACACTCTTTTGACTGTCCTGACAATAATTGAAGGCGCACGTATTTAAATTTGGTATCACTGTGTTCGCAATGAAATTGTCTATAAGAGCATACCTATAAAATGCCGCCCAAGCATAAGGAGTATCAACACCAAATAAAAAACTATGCAGATCACTCGCCGAGAGCGCCAAACAGCAACAAAATGTTTCCACTTTCTTAATGGTTGCGAAGCCTACAGTTGTCCTACATCGCTAATTTTGGTATGATTGGAATCGCAATAAAATTCTCTACACGGACATATGCATATGAATGTTTAATATAGGTAATTGCCCACCCGCAAGAGTGTGTGAAGTGGAGAGTAGTTAGCCGCGAGCGCACTGGCGAAAACACAGGAGGGGAAAATCATGCTTGGAAAGTTTATACGTTTCCTGACCCTACTTTTCTATGTACGTATTTCTTTTTTATACCAATGTGTTCGCAATAAAATTTTCTATAAGATGAACTGTATAACATTGGTACAAAGCATGTGTAAGAGAAGCGCCAAATATAGAACCACGTCGCTCAGTATGCGTTCGCGGCAGAAACGAACGCATTGTTTTCGTTCGTTTGATGTTTGTCATGTTTATACTTGTTGAAACATTTTATAATTTGTATGACAGTGATCACAGTAAAATTCCCTACACAGACATATACATAACACATACAAATATTTCCCACGTGTTGGATATATCAACGGCTAAAGGGAACCCACTGCCACACGCTCGCCACACCCCCAAACATACTTTGTGTATTTTTTTTTTTTACTCATAGAAGTTTATGTGATATAATATTCATTCTGGTACAAAAAAATTCGCAAATAAATTCTCTACAAAACAAAAGTATCCCCATCCATTTCGGTTAAAAAATGGAATTTATAGAAATATTTTTTCGATTGACGAGAAAAGTAGGCAGTTATGCGGAATCGTAAGAAAAACCAGTGACGAGTTATCTCTAATATAAAGCGCGAAAGTGTTAAGATGTGGGCACCACACAACAGCTGCATATTCTAGCTTTGGCTTAACAAAAGTCATGAATAATTTCTTTAGTATATCGCCATCCATGTATTTAAATGTAATTCTGAAGTTAGAAAGCATAGCATAGGCTCCTTGCACAATATTCTTTATGTAGTCCTCAGGTGATACTTTTCTATCCAGAACCACCCCTAGATCTTTTTCTTTATCAGAATTCTTTAAAGATTTCTCACATAATATATAGGTTGTGTGGGGTCTATGTTCTCCTATTCCACATTCCATAACATGACATTTATTAACATTAAAAACCATTTGCCAAGTGGTGCTCCATATACTTATTTTGTCCAGGTCTTCTTGAAGGGCATGACAATCATCTGAATTTCTTATCCTTCCTATTATCTTAGCATCATCAGCAAACATGTTCATATAATTCTGTATACCAACTGGTAGTTCATTTATGTAGACAATAAACATCACAGGTGCAAGAACTGAACCCTGTGGTACTCCACTTGTGACATTTCTCCATTCCGATACATTGCCTCTGATCACTGCCCTCATTTTTCTATCAGTCAGAAAATTTATCATCCATGTTAGAAGCTTACCTGTCACCCCTCCAATATTTTCCAGTTTCCAGAACAACCTCTTATGTGGAACTGTCGAAAGCCTTTTTTAGGTCCAGATAGATGCAGTCAACCCAACCATCTCTTTCCTGTAATCTCTCTGCGGCTCGATCATAGAAACTGAGCAAATTCGATACACAGGATCTTGCAGATTGAAAACCATACTGTCTGTCTAATATTATATCTTTTCTATCCAGGTGTTTTACCCATTTAGTTTTGATTAGGTTTTCCAATACTTTCACTATTACACTTGTCAATGATACAGATCTATAATTGAGGGGGTCTTCCCTGCTGCCACTTTTGTAGATTGGAACTATATTAGCCCGTTTCCACACGTCTGCTACGATTCCTGTACACAGGGATGCCTGAAAGATCAGATGAAGTGGAATGCTGAGCTCAGGTGCACATTCTCTCAGAACTGATGGTGAAACGCCATCTGGGCCAGCTGTTTTGTTCTTACTGAGCTCCTTTAGCATATTTTCCACTTCATCTCTAGACACCTCTATCTGCTCTATGTTGTTCTCTGGAATTCTTATCGTGTCTGGTTCTCTGAAGTAAGCTCAGTAAGAACAAAGCCGAGTGTGATAATGACTGTGTACAATGTTCAAATATCAGTGATTCAATGCTGTTCACGATGTTCACAGCACCACAGCATTATTTCGTCCATCTAGGAATCTTCAAATGACTTCTTAGGTTCCTGAACAAAATAAACTTGTGGTCAATTATTCATTTACAGGAATTAGTGACCAGGATTGTGGTGATAATTTGCACTGTGCATAGTATTGTGGGAGAAGGAATTTTGGTGAGGGGGAGGGAGGGAATCGAGGTAGCCTCACTGTGTGGCAGCCACTCTTGTTTTGCTCACCATACTAGCTTAGTGGTTTGCTATGGTTAACATGTACGTACATGAGTATATACAATGTGTGTATATAGTGTAATAACGACAATAGGAGTATGTTGAGAGGAGCTATTTTGGTGTGGGAGGTGACCTCTTAATCGTAGCACCGTCTGCTGCATGCTGTGTGATTTCTCATGCAGTGTATCGTGGCCACTGTACTGTTTGGACACAATACCGGCTTACTTGCATAGTTCTGGTGAATAAAACATATAGATATGTATACATAACATATGTAAATAATGTAATAAAAACCATAACAGTAAGGTGGGAGGAGGGGTGATGGCAAGTACGATGTTGGAGGAGTGAGGGAGTACTGGCTGGCTGGGTGTGGCAGCTCACACTTGTGGCGTTCTGAGTGTGTTTATGGTGAGTGTGTACAGTGTGTAAATAGATTGCATATATACAAAATTAGCATAATATATTGGAAATATGTGCCGGATATGTGTACACATGTGTCATGCACGTAACAGTGTCTTCGGACAATACAGATGTTCTACTATATAGAACTAATAATAATAAAGTGTATGTGTTCATTATACATAAGACTGGCACATAAAAACAAATAAAATGTATTTGGAACTGTGCGCAAAAAATGAACAAGAATATATTCGCGCATCCTGCCCCGGGCGCCCTACTGGCCACGGGAGCGTACACCACGGGCGAATGGGGAATGATGACATCACGTGCCAACATACGGACCCCATAGCAGACAAAGCAAGTACAATTTCGACTTACAGTTACTATACCCATAGTCAGGGAAGGGTTTTTGACACTTTCAAACCAGAAAATAATTTTTTCCAGAGAATTTATTTCCTGCGCATTGGGGGGTGTCAAATTTAAAAGCCGAGCAGTTGAGGGGTTAAGGCTCCTTTGGATTTGTTCACTGATATACCATATTAATGTGATTTCTCACTGTATTACTACTACTATTACTACTACTACTTATTTATTGATTTATTTTATATATATATATATATATATATATATATATATATATATATATATATATATATATATATATATATATATATATATATATATATATATATATATATATATATATATATATATATATATATATATATATATATATATATATATATATATATATATATATATATATATATATATATATATATATATATATATATATATATATATATATATATATATATATATATATATATATATATATATATACACATATATACAAGAAAGTACATTGAGTTTATGATGCAGGTACAAAGCATTGATGTTTTTTCATTCTTGTAAAGCCACTAATACACACACAGCACTTTGGGAAGGTCTTTAATGTAATAGATAATTTTAAGAAGGTAATTTGTAGCAAAATTTGAAGAATATTAACAGGTACATAAGAAAATTTGACGAAAATTAATAGGTACAGTGTAGTAAAATTCGCATTCAACATAACGATGATACAAGTTGATAGCACTGATTACGATGGTGAAGTCGCATGGCTTAGGCACATATATTGGGGGAGTGGGTAGCACAAGATACAGTGCAAGTTTCAAGCACTGGATAGGAAACTATGAGGATAAAATTAGGTACAGTACTACTATTTCTACTTCTATTACTACTACTATTACTGCTACTATTTTCAAATTCAATTCAAATAAGTTTATTGAGGTATAAATATAAACAAAGGGATTACTACTAGTACTACTACTTTAAGTGGGAGACAGACTTGCAGACAAAATAAAATGTCTAACACTAAACGAATAGTTCCAAAGATGTTTATGCAGAATGAGATTTTCATAGAACAAGCAAAAATAACAACTTTCAAACACAACATAGAATATGTATTAGTGCCTAGAGGTAGAAAAACCACAAAGAATTAGACAGAATTAAAGCAATCATGTCAGATGGAGTTTTGCCTTAGATTCTGAGGGAATGTTCATCATCCCCCACACATGAGGCTGTTCTGTAAACTGGAACTAAATACAAAGAAAATGAATAAAGCAACACATGTCAGATGAAATTTGTGGGAAATATATGTCAAATGAAATATGGACGAGGGGAAAACATGCAACACGTAACCTACAGATTAGAATATGCAGCAGTTGTGCGGTGTCCATTTCTCAAGAAGGACATCAATAAACTGGATAAGGTGCAGACATGCTGCTTAATGGCTTCTGGAACTAAAAAAAAGAGCTATGTGGAGAGGCTAGAGATGTTATATATGCTACAAGTGGATGATAGAAGGAAACAAAGAGGCAATATAATCAACAGGTACAATATAGTACCAAATGGGCAGAGACGAGGAGGAATTTTTCAAACCAGCAACTTCAAGAAAAAGTGTTCATAGATCAAGCTAAGGAAACAAAGGTACCAGAAGAATACATAGACGTGCTCTTTCAGTAAGAGTTGAGGACAGCGTAAACAATTAAAGTGAGAAGGGGTGGATACCAAGACAGTAAATCGCTTCAAGGTGTCGTATGACAAAAATTATATGAAAAACAAGAGATTACAAGCGTAACTCTCATCCTGTAACTGCAGCTAATAAAAACCAGTGGATTGAAGGTTGAGAGAGTACCAGAGAACCAACATTCAAGTACTACAAGAACAATAAGATGAGAATAACTAGGTGAAATTTGTCTGAATTACTTATCACATTTGATGCCTCTTGAGTTACCTTAATTGCTTCAGCCGGTTTGGGACCACTACAGGCTTCATCCTCAAAGTACAGCTTAAGATATTGCTCTTTCAGCCAATAAAGTCGTTTATCGCTCACACTTGCCATCCGTCTTTGAGCACGTACTAGCACCTGTTCAGAGATGCAAACAACATGTACCAGACACCCAACCCATAAATCTGAAAATAAATGAATTGACAACATTTCGGTTCATCTTGGACCATTATCACGTCATCGACTTTACATCAGTCCAGGATGAACTAAAAAGTCAGATTCTTTTATCCTCAGATTTGTGGATTGGTTGTCTAATTTTCAGCTAAGTTATTGTGGCTGTAGAAGATGTATTGTTGTACAGTAGGCCATATATTCACTTCTCAACAATTTAAACTTGAAAAATTCTAGGTGGTGCAAATGCATATACTCACTTGCAATCCTTGACACCAAAGTTGAGCAACAGAAGGTGGAGCTACCAATATCAGCATGCGGTTGTCAGCAAGATTGGCTCCATATATTAGAGTAACACAATGCTCCGGTGCAGGTGGATTTTCCAGAAAGTACCTGGAAGTCATAAATAGCTTTCTATATTTTTAAACCTCTACTCACTATGCGAATTTGCTACCATACAAATGATACATCACCAACCACACATTTACTAAGTACTATCCAAGATGTTTTCATGACTTGTCTCCTTTGGGAATTACTTTTCCTCGTGGATTACCTCCAGAATCTTAGTAATTTTTAGGTATGAAAATGCTCTTTCAAGAGCTCTTGAAACTTGTCTCAACCCTGAAATACCTAATATGCAGTATGAAATATCATTTCATGAAAGGGTTGCCTCACAAAATTCTCAATAAACATTTTATCAATGTTGATAGCTTTGATAATTGAAACATGAGAAAAATACAAAACACATCAAATTTGCAGATAATACAAAGATTTATGTAACGTGGGAAGTGAAAATTATATCGAGACCTTACAAAGAGTTCTACATGAACTCCACAAATGGTCAGATGACTGACAAATGCTTTTTAATATTGACAAATGCAAGACCTTGCATGTGAGGCATAACAACTCACATCACAACTATCAAATTAACAGCATTGCCTTGCAGCAGATTGATAAAGGGAATGACCTTGAGTCAGAATCCATCATTCACTGAAAGGTGCACAACAAGTGGGAGCAGCAGTAGAAAAAAAAGCTAACCAAACCTTAGGAGTACCTTCGATTTTAAGGAAAAGAAGGTAGTTATTCAACTGTAAAAATCTCTGTGTTGCACCTCCACTTGGATTATTGTATCCAAGCATGGAGACTTCATCTTCAGAAAGACATAGCTTCATTGAAAAAAGTTCAACACCAGGCAACAAAAATCATTCCAGAACTAAGTCAGCTCTCGTACCAGGAACGGCTGAGGGCCTCATGACTAACAACACTGCAAACCAGACATGACAGGGCAGATCTCCTCAATTTTTTTATTTATTATTTATTTATTTATTTGTATATATACAAGAAGGTACGTTGGGTTTATGAGAGTACATATAGCATTGATGTTTTTAAATTCTTGCAAAGCCACTAACACGCATAGTATTTCGGGCAGGTCCTAAATCAAACGGATAATTTTAAGTAATTAATTTGTAGCAGATTTGAAGAATATTAACAAATATACTGTAAGAAAATTTGAAGATATGAGAATAAAAGCGCATAAGGCGCCAATATGAAAATAAAAAGCTCATAAGGCGAACAACATCATAGGTATCCGATTCACCAAGAATTCTATCGAGGGATAGGTGACCGCAAGGGACAGTCGGGAAACAAGACGCACGCACATCCTGAAAGCTCAGATATTCAACAAGGATATGCTTGACCGTAAGAGGGACAATGTAGTTTAGCAATAAGGAGCAGGGCAGTGCTCCATTAAGTGCCCATTAGATAAATGGGTATGGCCAATACATAACCTCGCCAGACCCATTTCCCACCGCCGGTTACGGTGGTAGGAGGAAGACCATGGAGACACGCTACCCACCCTTAAGACCACACAGCTTGTTACCAGTAACAGAAGACCAGCAATCTTGCAAATGGGTATGGATTGAGGAATGAATAACTGGGTAAAAGTCAAAATAAGAAACTTTTCGTGGTTCGTCCTATTGATGGGGCGATGGTGGGGGGGGGGGGGGGGAGCTTGCTCGCTCACTCTGCTCGCACCTGGTCCAACAATTTGAGGGCCCTTTGGATCATTTTGTGCGGTGTGAGGTGGCGTTGGGTGGCCCCTCCTCCTCCTTCAGGGGGGTTTGGGGCTGGCTGGGTAAGCCTCTTCTGCACACAGAAATCACAATAGCGTGATGCATCAAATGAACAAATCCACAAGGGCCATGACGAGGGTTTGAACCTACATTTGAGAAGATTCCAGACGCTGGTTCGTTCTTCTCCTCGAGTCTTCGCATCTGATTTTCTGACTCGAGTCTATCATCTCTTGTATGGTGCACAGGTGGTTTTGTTAAGGGGTCCCACCTGCGTGCTTCATCTCGGCGCCAGTATGGAGTTGCCTGGCAGTTCTTCCATTTTTTCCTATCTCTGCATATGCGTACTTTGGTCTTTGTTAGGGTTGTCTTGTCTTTCCTTCGTGGTCGTTTCCGGACTGTCATCTCCGCCAAATACTGTCGCTTTGTAGTCCATAACATGACATTTATTAACATTAAATTCCATTTGCCAAGTGGTGCTCCATATACTTATTTTGTCCAGGTCCTCTTGAAGGGCATGACAGTCATCTAAATTTCTTATCCTTCCTATTATCTTAGCATCATCAGCAAACATGTTCATATAATTCTGTATACCAACTGGTAGATCATTTATGTACACAATAAACATCACTGGTGCAAGAACTGAACCCTGTGGTACTCCACTTGTGACATTTCTCCATTCTGATACATTGCCTCTGATTACTGCCCTCATTTTTCTATCAGTCAGAAAATTTTTCAACCATGATAGAAGCTTACCTGTCACCCCTCCAATATTTTCCAGTTTCCAGAACAACCTCTTATGTGGAACTCTGTCGAAAGCCTTTTTTAGGTCCAGATAGATGCAGTCAACCCAACCATCTCTTTCCTGTAATATCTCTGTGGCTCGATCATAGAAACTGAGTAAATTCGATACACAGGATCTTCCAGATCGAAAACCATACTGTCTGTCTGATATTATATCATTTCTCTCTAGGTGTTCTACCCATTTAGTTTTGATTAGTTTTTCCAATACTTTCACTATTACACTTGTCAATGATACAGGTCTATAATTGAGGGGGTCTTCCCTGCTGCCACTTTTGTAGATTGGAACTATGTTAGCCTGTTTCCACCCGTCTGCTACGATTCCTGTACACAGGGATGCCTGAAAGATCAGGTGAAGTGGAATGCTGAGCTCAGATGCACATTCTCTCAGAACCCATGGTGAAACGCCATCTGGGCCAGCTGCTTTGTTCTTACCGAGCTCCTTGAGCATTTTTTCCACTTCGTCTCTAGACACCTCTATGTGTTCTATGTTGTTCTCTGGAATTCTTATTGTATCTGGTTCCCTAAAGATTTCATTTTGTACAAACACACTTTGGAACTTTTCGTTTAGTGTTTCACACATTTCCTTTTCATCTTCCGTGAATCTATTTCCCATTTTCAACCTCTGAATGTGCGGCGCTGATGGAGCCGCTGCAGCTTTCATTCAGTATGGATGTTACTTCTGCTCCATTCTGCAAGCTGTTCTGTACATTGTTTCACCTTCAGCCTGCTCATGCACTGCCTGACTCATCCTGGTCGTTGGGCAGGGTGCTCTCATTTCTCCTCTGTTTGTAGTGGCCTCTTCAGTTCAGGGTTGTTTTTCTATGGTTCTTTTCCGTAGAAAAGAGGGTCGGGTCGGGGAGCTTCATGCTCTCCTCTGGTGCATTGGTTTCTGCTCTTTTGGTCCTGATGGTAGGTTTGTTTGTGCAGCCGTCTCCTTTTCTGGCAAAGAATGAGACTGCTTCTTTCCGGAGGGGTCCTTGGGTTGTTGATTTGTTGGTTTGGCCGGGGGTGCATCATGTGTTACGTCCAATTGCGGCTCTTCGCCGTTATCTGCGAGCCACGGCCTCGGTGAACGGAGATGCACTTTGGGTTGACCCGGTCCCTTCTTCCCTGTTCCAGGGTTCGAGTCTTCCAGGTCGTCCACAGGGTTATTCGTTCCAGCCAGCCTGTGGTCTATCCCCATGCCCATGACATGCATAAGTTTGTTGCGTTGGTTGCTGTCTTCGGTATCATGTCTTGGGCTGACATTCGGGCTCGCAGTGTTTGGAGGTCGAACAGGGTCCTGGCCGGTCGCTACCCAGTCAATGTTCCTGACCCTAGTCGGGCATGTGTCACATTGGGTCGGCAGTTGCAGCCAGTTGTCTCGACTTCGTGTTGAGGAGTGAGTGGCGAATGCCTCCCGGGTAAGTCCCTCTTGTTTTTATCTTTAGTTAAGTAGCTCCAGGGAGCCAAAGGGGCTTCCACCAGAAAACCAGCATTGAATGTAATGAAATGCCATTTTCTAAGTGAGACCTGGAGGCTCCCTGGCATACACCAAGAGTGAGAACCACTACAAGCAAGGAGGCCCCCCTGACGGGAGTGTTGCCCAAATGCTCCAGGGAAGGCAACCTTGACCTTGCAAAGGTAATACATACAGAGCACACAAGGAAGATAACCCTGAGCACAGGTAGCTCCAGTACATAACTCCTGGCTCATGCACAACTCAGTGTAGGGAACACCGCCTCAAGGGCAAAACCACCAATAAACATGAGAACACGGAGCCAAAGCGACACCAACACTTGGCACACAATATCAGTCAAAAACTGAACAGTGTCACCCCAAATGACCCGGGCCGGGTCCCCACTCTTCCGAACGAGGGGGAAGAGGTGGAGCTAACTAGCGCAGGGCTGGTTTTTTTAATTTTTGTTTTTGTTTGTTTTCTTGTTGGGGGAGTTCTTTAAACATTTTGAGGGTGCTGGTCTCCTTTTTCAACCAATGCAGTAGTCTGTTTTGATTTGCCTGCCTTTCTGGGTGCTTCCCTAGTTGATGGCAAGATGATAAACTTTAACTGTAAGGTATTCAAAGGCCACTACTCCCTGCATCTCTCTGAAGGGGATCAGGTTCTGGCTCGTGCTTCCCAGTAGGCAACAAAAACTACGCAACTGATGATACTTAGGTAGCATGGCACTTAATCAGTAAGCTAGCTTCAGGGAGCCAACTGGGCTCCCCCCAGAAAACTATCATGTAATGTTTTGAAATGCCGCTTTCTGATTTGGCCTTGGTGGATGTCTAATCCACTTCCCCGCCCACCCCCTTTCCAGGGTGGCCAATTTATCAGCTCTGGACTGCACTCTGTTGATATGGGTATGTTAACTCATACCCAGTAAGTATATTTCCTAATATTTCCAGGTATGATTTGGGTATGTTAACCAACATACTCTGTTGATATGGGTATGTTGATATGTTGTTACCTCTCAAATTTTACCCTAATGTACCTACTAATCTGTCATTATTGTATGTTTTCATTATTGTGTATTAATC